GTGGGCTCCTTTATCTTCGAGAAATCTGCACACATGGAGTGGAGTTTAGGACTTTTTTTTAACTACGCATTCAAACACTTCCCAGTTCGCAATCCAGGCTACGTCGAGTTTGCCAGACCTTCAAAGTACTGTTGGCAGCCTTTCCTGCGCTGGGATAAAACATCTTACCCTAGGGAAGCAAAAGCTGAGTCATTTTTAACCCCAAACAACATTCACTGATGTGGTCATCTTGTTAGTCATGGAAATCCTGTGTTATTTCTATTTATGCTTCTTTCAACACTTATTAACCAAGAAGTGAGGAGGTTTTATTTTAAACTGCAGAAGATGTTTATACTCTCCAGGGCCATGACAATCAGTTACACGGCTTATCCATCATTCCAGAGAAAGGAAAAGATTCTGAGAAACTCCCCAGGCAAGTTAATTTTTAAAGCTGTAGGAGGGAGAAGAGAAAAGAAAACAAACACCACCACCAAAGCCACAGGCACACAAAGCCTAACACAACCGCCTAATGCCGCGGGGGCCGTGGCTGGCTCCTTCCAGCCCTTGCGCCTGCCTCTGGCAACTGCAGCGTCTCCTTGGGGCAGGAATGGCCAGGAGACCCCTCGCTGGAGAGGATCGGCTGCCCCAGTGCCGGCAGCGCCGAGCAGAGCAGAAGAAATCAGAGATCTCCCTTAGAAAACAACCTCTGTGAACGCCGGCCAGCGTCAGGCAGCTCCAGTCTGGGCCCACGCGCCCGCCCGGGGCCGCTCGGGGCAGGAGGGTCGGTCCGTGCAGCCCCCCCGGGGCCGCCGGTGCCACGCGGAGGGGCCGTACCGAGCGATGCCAAGTGCCAGGCAAGCCGATGGCCCGGCACCGGCCCGGCACCGCGGCACGGGCACCGGCTGGCACCCCCGCGTGGGGCTGGTGGCCGTGGGCCCTCGGCACCAGCCGAGCTCTCTGCCTGGCATCAAAACCCGCTTTGCAGACAAATTTAAATTTCGTTTGTCCAACAAGGGACAGACGCAGGAGAGGGAACCGAGGTATCAGAGAGTGTTGCTCTAACCGAGGGGGAAAAGATGCTTCAATGGATGGAGACTGATGCTGTGATAACAGAAGGAAACGCTGCTCAGGCGCTGGCTTGGTCCCCGATGGCACTGAGCGATGTGGCAGGTGAACCTCTGGGGTTTCTTTCTGCCTGTTTTTATCATCTCTGCCAATTTGTACTGTTGAACACCGTGCCCACACTCCAGTGTTGGTCTGTGAGCAAAACGCCTCTGGCCAAAGTGTCACACGATGTCTGGAAGGGCAGACAGGGATGCCTCCTTGAAGCAGCAAGGAAAAGGGAGGAGGAGGCCTTTGCTTCCCCAGGCTTTGAGCATCGCTCTTGCTGCTAACGATGGAGACCCCCTTCCAGCTCATCGCCACCAGTAACAGCAACTCTAGATTACGGCTATTCCAGCAGAAACGCTGCAGAAACGGCAGAGAGATTTGGTGAAGGACTGATTTTAACAATCAATAATTACCCCAAAATTCTGAGCAGGTGAATTAGGATCAGGGGCTGAGCAGAAATACTGGGATTTCGGTCAAGTCTGGAGTATTTCAACAGCAGAACCATCCCAGAGGCCTTGTGGGGGGAGGAGAGCCGTTCACCAGCAGCGGGAGGAAGGGCAGCTCGTGGGGTAGAGCGCGGTCCTGGCCCCGCCACAGCCGCAGCCACGGGCTGGGGGTGAGGGTGCCCCCCGGCAGGCGCCGTTTCCAGGCGGCAGATGTGCGGCCCCACAGCACAGCACAGCGCCCACGCCCAGTGGCAACAGCTAATTAGGCAGAAGCGGCTTTGATGTTCGAAGGCATCGGGGATGTCCCCGAGGCAGCTCCCGGCCCGGCCTGGCGCACACCGACACCGGCAGAGGCGAGCCGCGGGCGGGACGGGCCACTCTGGTTTATGTGCCCCCCGCGCCGCCTCCCCCGCCGGGATATTCAATCAGGTGCCGGTGACGGCTCCCGCAGCAGCTCCAAGAAGCAGTTTCTTAGTTTTTGGTGGAACAAGTGGTACTCACATTCAAAAGCAGGTTATAAAAACACGTGCCTGAAGAGAATGTCGGGAACTTGGGTATTAATCTCCTTTAATTCAAAGACCATTCAAAATAAGCGAGACAGAAATATTGGCGGGGGTGAGAGAAGATGCCAGAGGTCGTATTGTGCACCACTGGCTCGGGTCAAGTTCAGAGGAATAATTTAGCACAAAGAATAACGATTTTCAACCTCAGTGGTGTGGCACGAGCCTCTCCCTAGCTGAGAGGTCCGTTTCCCCTGCGGGGCTCGCTGCCGCCGGCCGTGCAGGCACCCGCCTGCCCGCGGCGCCGCCGGCCCGGCACCCACCGCAGCCGGGACCCGACGGGAAGGGCTCTGCCCCGAGCGCAGCGCCGCCCTCGCTGCCGCCCGCGCCCTGCCCGCGCCAGGCATTTCTTTTGCCAGGTTTCGCCCCGTCCTGCCCAGTACCGAGGCGTCTCCCCGCTGCTGGGAGGTGCCCAAAGGGACGTCGCCCTCCGGCACCGCACGGATGCCAGGCGCCGTCTCCCCCTGCTCAAGCCGAGGCCCGTCCCGGCAGCGTCCCCGCGGTGCCCTCGGAGCGCTCAGTGCTCGGCCGAGCGCGAGCAAAGCTGGGCCACGCAGGACAGACCGCGGGGCAGAAAAGCGCGGCACCTCCCCTCCAACTTGCACTTCCACCCTCAGCCGCCTCTCTTAAAACGGCCTTATTTCAGAGTTGAGTATAAAACCTCATCTATTTCTGCAGAATCCCAGTTTATAACATTTGTGAAAAACGAGACCCCGGAGCCCTGAGCTGGGCAGGGCCGCTCTCAGCCTGCAGAAACGCCTCCAGCCCCGGAACGCTGCACCGGGTACGGCCCTGCCGGTGCCACAGCCCCGAGCCCGCAGCGCCCAGCGGGCTGTGGTGAGGCACCGTGCAGCCCCGGGAGCTGCACACCGCGGTCACACCGCTGCCACATTGCACCCTGCTGTCACCCTGCTGTCACCCTGCTGTCACCCTGCTGTCACCCCGCGCGCTGCAGTCCCTGGCTGCACGGGGATGCAGCAGCCCGCTGCTGCCCCAGCTGCATCGCCAGGAGCTCCTGGCAGAGCCCCACTGCCCCGCGCTGCGGCAGCCCCAGCACCCCCACTCCCCTGACACCCCTGGCACCCTGGCACCCCCACACCCCTGACACCCCTAGCACCTCGACACCCGACACCCCTGACACCCCCGGCACCTTGATACCCCTGACACCCCCAGCACCCCGACACCCCCGACACCCCTGACACCCCCGGCACCCCTATACCCCCAGCACCCTGGCACCCTGACACCCCTGGCACCCTGACACCCCCACACCCCTGACACCCCCAGCACCTCGACACCCGAAACCCCTGACACCCCCGGCACCCTGATACCCCTGACACCCCTGACACCCCCAGCACCCCGACACCCCTGACACCCCCGACACCCCTGACACCCCCGGCACCCCGACACCCCCACACCCCTGGCACCCCCGGCACCCCGACACCCCTGACACCCCAGCACCCCGACACCCGACCCCCCTGACACCCCGACACCCCTGACACCCCCGGCACCCCGATACCCCCGACACCCCAGCACCCCGACACCCCCCGCACGGGGAGCAGGTCTGTGCAGAAGGCCGGGGGAAGGGCTGGCCACGCACACGTTACAAGAGTTGGTTCAACCAAAGCCCGTGCTGCCAAGTCGAGGCCGCGCTGGCGTTTCCAAGCTTTGAGGCCGACTGCGTGACTTTAACCTGACCTCGTAATTACACACAATGCAAATTTTGACATTGATAATTACGAGTGACTAAAGCTGTTAATCTTTATAATAGAGGGTAAACAGGTTGGCTCACTGACGTTGCTGCCATTTTCTGCAGTGACACGCTTATTGCCACATACACTTGGGACAGGGCCTGCGTGGCAGCGTAGATGTTGCGTGTGGTCCCTTGCGCTCCAGAAAACACTGAAGTTGAGCCATTTTGACTTCTGTGTTTTCACTTTGCAGCATACCTTTTGAGAGGGACGTTTTGGATGGAGTTTCCAAGGCTTTTTATATCTAATTTCCAAGGACAAAACCGCACAAACAAAAGCAAATTACCTGGAGGGGGATCGTGCTGCCGCCGCTGAAGTCGGCCCTTCGGACCCAGGGCCAGGCTGCAGCTGCTCGGGCCAGCCGGGACCGGCCGCAGAGGCTCCGCAGCGCCTGCTCCATCTCCAGCGATGCCTCTGCTCCTGTTTCTTTATTCCTCCTGTGTCTGAAACCAGGTCCCACCTTTTGCAGCGTCCCTCGCCTCCCTGGGCAGCTTGAGAGCAGAGGAAAAGGTGCCTCCGGCCTCGGCCCTCACGTCCCACCAAAACTGCGCAGAAAGCCCCCGGCAGCCCCAACAGGCAACCCGCCCAGCTGCGGCAGGGGAAAAAGCACCCTGTGGGCGAGTCCCTCACAGGAAAGCCCGCGATCCCCGCTCGTTACTGCGACACCCCCGTCCACGGACGGACACGCGTGACGACTCGCTATTTCCTTCCAAAAGCGGGCGGGGATGGGAAGGCAGGCAGGCTCCCCACTGGGGACGCCCCCCGCGCGACAAAGCCGGCTCGGGCCCCCGCAGTGTCCGAAGCCTCGCTGCCCGGCGGGGCACAGGGCCCGGGGCCAGGCGCGCTGCAAGAAGCGCCCCCCGTGCCGGGGGCGCTCACCGTCACACCGAGCAGCCCAGCGGTTCAGGTGCCACAGCTGGAACCGCTACGCGGCGGCTCCGTGCAGAGAAAGCACTGGCTCATGCTTCGCTCCTCCCGATGCTCTGAGCTACTTTCCGAACGTTCGGGTTTGGGATGTGAAGAAGTCAGTGCAACGGTGGGGCAGAGGGAAAAGAGTGGCTGGTCCCAAGGGATGCCCCTTTCCACTCCCGCAAGTCAGAGCTGTGGCGGTTTAGGCTTCTGAAACTCCAAATTTAAAACACAAAGCACAGAGAATAAACTGATTAAAACAAGTTTTATTTAACAAATTATATTAAGAATACAGACTAAGTTATCACACAATGAAACTTCCCTTTGTAAAATACAGGAGGGTCATCTAAAATAAATATAAAACGTAGTAACATTCATAAGATTAATGCACAGTAAATTCACTTTCAATAACCCAACAAAATGCATAGCATCTTAGAAAAACACTTCGCAACTGCATAAAAGGTTTCTCTCTTCCATTTGCATGATGACATTTAAAACTGTTGCTGTTAGGAAACAATTTCACAATAAACGACCAGAATATCCAAACTGTTTGGCTTCCCTGTACTGAATGAATCGAGCAGCACCTCACTGAGCTTTTTCATGAGCGGAGGAGCACCCCCCCCACTGCAACGCTGTCAGGGTTTCGTGGCTCAGGATAACCAACACCGGCACCGCTCGGCTGCCCCGCTGCCGGCACGGATTCCCGTCTGTTTGTCAAGGCTCGAAGGCTGAGGTAATTATTTGAAGGCAGCGAGACGCGCACGCCCTTCGGGAGGAGGGAACTGCTCTGCGGTGAGCTGCTCCGCCGGCCCCCGCGGGACGTGGGGCGCCGGGGCCAACGTGGGACCGGCCGGCTGCCAAGGCGCCGCATCCCGCGCTCCCTCCCCCAGGGAGATTTTTCGGGCCCCGCCGAAGAGGAGGAGGGGACGCACGTCACGTCGCCGCCGCCAGCGCCAGCGCCCACCCGGCACGGCCGTGCCCCGCGGGCCCGGGCTGGGGAGCTCAGCAAAGCGGAGCGGGCAGGGGCGGGTGTGAACCAAACAAGCCCGAAGCTACAGACGACCAACAAGCTGTCCCTAGGCAGGAGGCCCGCGGGGGATCCCCTCCTGCAAACACCGCGGGCAAACTCGGCGCCCGGCAAAGGAAAAAAGTTTGACAAAGTTTATTCCTATGTAACTACAGCTATGAGATGCTCCCACTGGGAAGACACCTGCTATGACTGTCCACACTTGAATTTTATCACAAAGTTCACACTCTACGTTACTTTCTGGACTAATTTCTTGCCTCTCCATTGTTAACACATTAGACAGCACAGCCTGGCCTGGATGGCCCACGAGTCATCTCAGCGCTACCTGCTCTTTGCCGTGAGAAATCCAGGAGGCAGCGTGTCACTACTAATTCACATCAGAAAGTGTATTTTACAGCAAGCAAACCCCTCACTGCTGCTTTTCTGTCTCTGTCGCAGACATATGATAATTTGGCAAACTAATTTCTCCATCAGCCACAAGATTAAGCTACCTAGAGACCAGTTTTGTTCTAGAAATAAAGGCAAGGTAGCCAAGCACATCTGGTAAAGCTCTGCACATCCACTTCTGTTGCTTTCCATTAACTCATCCCCTCCCCTTATGCTCCAGAAGGCTTCTCCATAGCCAAACACCAACATCAGGCTCCCTGAATATTTACTGCCTGGGCCAATGGTACCACAGTCACCTTTTGGACAGGGAGGGAGGAAGATGCAGAGAGGTGATGCTGGTACTGGCTATGGCACATGCTAAGGGGGAAGACTGGCTGCAAGGATGCAAGGACCAGCCTTGCAATGAGTTGCCATGAGTACAAAAGTTACGGAACAGCAAATAAAACCTGCCTGTGGAAACGCTGACCTGATGCCCAAGGTCTTGGGAATCCAGAGACGCAACAGAAAAGCTTCCTATAATCGGTGGACAGAGAAGAGGACACATACAGTCAGCCTCCCTGCGCCGTGTGTCTCGCTGTGCTTGCAGGCACCGGCTCTGTGCCCTCTCCCCTCTGGGAGCGCCCCGTTTGCCAGCCTTCGGTCAGCAGGTCTGAGAGCTCAGCTGGCTCTCAGCAGCTGTAGCTCTTTGCTCAAAACACCTCTATTGCGTTTGTACCACAAGAACTGCACTTGTACTGTTCGTGATTTCAGTACGTGGCATCTTTGCAGTGCCACAGTGCAGAGACACACTGGGAAGATCAAACTGACCTCTCAAGTTTCTTTGCAGATGCACCCCTGAAGCAGCTCTGCTGGCCCAGTGTAAGAGAGGGAGGAGTGAGAACCAACTATACAAATATATCCTGAAGATTTCTTAGACGCTTGTCCCAGCTGCATGTCCTGTCAGTGTTCTGAGCCATCCAGTGTTTCTTGTAGGTCACCGAAGAGAAAGCTGAGCTCACTATCTCTAAGAAGGCTGAGCAAACGTAACAGTTGCTATAAATACTAAAGCACCAATTCTATCGACTGATGCTCTCTAAGCTCAATCTCGCAGGAAGGGACTCAAAGCTACGCGCCCATTTTTCTGAGACATCCCCAGGGGGTGCCCCATGGGACGTGGGGCTCGGCAGCTATCCGAGCCCACCCCTCCCCGGGCACTGCCGCTGCTGCGGGAGCCCTGCCCTCGGCACGGGAAGACGCGGCTTGAGGAGGGGCTCCTGGCAGCCGTCCCCCCGTCTCCCGGCGGCAGGAACTGCCCCCGGAGCTCCGCAGACTCTGCGCTGGCCGCCCTGCACCAGCCCGCAGCCCTCACTCCTCCACCACCAGTAACAGGAGGTCAGCTCTCTGCAGCCCCACATCCCAAAGCTGTGCGGAACACACCGCTGCAGAAGGCTTCTACCTGCCCGCAGTGTCCACTGAGCCACAGGAGAAGCTATAAATGGATGCCTCAGAAAACTACAGAACAAATTACAAGCAGAAAAATAGAAAGACAAAAGATGGATGAGATGGGCATAGTACTAGAGCATGGAGTGGATTTGAACTTCAAGTGAACCTGAGCCGAATGACCAGGCTGCCATGGTATGTTCATTTGTCGATGTCAGCATCATCAATCTAGCCTTTGTGAAGCTTGGCAGTGAGGTCTGGCTTTGCTTTCTTGCAGGATAAATAAGAACTAAAAATGGTGCTGCAGCCTCCAAGTAAACGAGCACTTCCAGGGGGTCACCCAAACGTCCAGAGCCAGTGCAAATAGCATACCTCTATTTCTTTTGCCCAAACACACCTGCAACCAAATTGGCCTCTGCTTTCCAATCGCACAGCCCCGCTTTCAGAGGCAGGTTTAGAAAATGATTTACCTGATTGGAAGAAGATGAAGCAAAGACTTGGAATCAGTCTGTCCCGAACGTTACGGTATTTTGTGCTCATTATCCCAGCAATGCGGTATGGTGCCTTAAAACCAGAAATGAATCTTTGGACAAGAAATATTTTACATATGTACAAATAAAAAGTACAAGCTGACAGTACAAAACCTACTGTTAGTCACCATTCTGTCCAACTAGAAAATGCAAGATCAATCAAAAGCAGTGCAAAGCAGGTCAGGGCATACGTATGACCCAGACTGGGAGCAACAATACTGTTACTTGTTACTATGGCAATTGCATTTCAATAGGGTTAGGTAATCAGTATTTTACAATAGAAAAAGTTGTACGTTTTAACACTTACTTAAAAATTGCCATTTTGGTGCCATGATGTAGCTTTGTTCTACAGCAGAGACTTTAAAAAGCAGCATGGAGTCAGATGGGCACTTCTAAATAACTTATTACAGCAACAGACTTCTCCAAGACATGCATTTGACTCGGGAGCGAGCTAAGGTCAGCGATCACAAGGAGGCTGAGGTCAGGGTTTAATGCATCCCACTCTCATCCTGCACTACGTCAGAGTCCGGTGCTTCCCCGTGAGTGCACGAGGGAACAGGCACATCTCTTGTTTTAGCAGCTAGAGGGGCAAAGATTAGAAAACTGTCCAAAGTGATGGGCAGGTGACAGCATCCACGTTGTCAGCAGGGCCCCAGCTCCACAGGCAGCTCGGCTGGGGGTCAGCGGGGCACTGCCAGCACCCAGCCCCGAAAATGCAGGATGTTCGTCACTCTAGGTCCTGACAGACACACGGACACCCTGTGCAAAGCGGAGGTGCTTCGCCTCGGGAGCTGCAGTGCAGCTCGTGCTCTCTGCACCCCTCTGCCTGGGGAGGGAGCCCGAGGCGGGTCTGAGCCGGCGACCACGGCCCTGCCAGCCTACAGCAAAACCAAGTGATCGCTGTCGGGCTGATCCCGGCTGCGGCAGAGCTGCTGTGCGCCCGGACCTTGGCGGGGGCAGACGGGGCATCCGCTGCGGCCCGATGCTGCCCGCTGGGCCGAGTGCCGCAAGGCCTCGAGAGCCCATCAGCTCCGTGTCAGCTCATGCGGGAAGCCCGGGGGCTTGCGGATTAACCAGCCGTGTCTTTTACTCTTCCTTACTTTTAGGGCTCGCTGCTGAGCGCTTCCTGATGGTCTGCGAGCTCGCGGCTCGCTGTTCGCAGCACTTTGTTACGGCTCTGGTTTCTGTGACTGTCCTGCAGCAGGGGTTATGAACGGGGGACAACCACGGGGCTGCCGTCAGGCTCCCAGTCACGTACTCACATGGAGCGGCGTCCGCAGCGGCGAGGGAGGGCGGGGGGCGGCTGCCGAAGGGTCGCGCGGTCCCAACGCGTGGAGCGGCGTGTGCAGGAGGAGGCGGTGCGGTGCGGGGCGGGCGGCGGTGGCCGGACAGGCGGACGTCGGCGGGACGGCCCCGGCGCCGCGCCCCGCTCAGTAGTATGCACGCCCACGGCCGCCCCAGCGCCGGCCGCCCCTCTCAGGACGGCGGCACCGGTGGGCAGCGCGTGGGGCTGGGCGGCAGGCGGGCCGCCGCGCTCTGCTCCGTCCGGAAGCTGTAGTCGTACTGCGGGGCAAAGCAAGAGAGAGGGAACCGTGAGGCGCTGCCCGGCAGCAGCCCGGCCACGCTCCCCAGCCCGTGCCCAGGGCGGGAGGATGCAGGAGAATGAGGCAGCACCCTGAGCACCCAGGCAGGGCCACGCCGGGTGAGCCTGTGGCACTGCCCGACCCCACCGCCCCAGGCAGGATCCAACCCCCCCCCCGCAAACCCAGCGTTAACACTAACACGACCATCCTGGGCAGAAAGCAGCTAGTCAGAAAGACTCCCCTTTGCAGGCCTCGTTTACACAAGTTGGGACCATCGCAGTTAACACTCTTGGTTTGGCCAGGAGGGTGAAAATTCCTGTGTGCGTGTCCCTGCAGCCCAGGGATGTCACTGCAGCCCCGGGGACATCCCGGCTGCGTGGAGCGTGCCGTAGCAGTGCCATCTCGTGGCACGCCACGGGCCGCTCCCCGAGAGCCCCAGCCGTGCCACGGCACCCCCGGGAGAGGCCGTGGAGCGATGCGCTGGGGCAGGGGCGGCACACGGCACCGGCACAGCCCCGGTAACCGCTCGGGGCGTGGACCATCCTCCCCGGCATCTCCCGGCGTGCTGTTTGCAGCTCCTGGGACGTCACCAAGACGTTCCCTCGTTGCGGGCCGTTGGCCAGCGCCCAGCCCCGGCCGCGTGCCCGGAGCGCTGGCTGTGCCAGGGTGGCCGCAGGGCTGGCCGCGGTGCCCAGGCCCCTGCGAGGGCTGCAGGCTGCTCCCGGTGACACGAGCCGGGCGCGCTCCCGCAGCTGGCTCCCGCCGGACACTGGCTTGGCCTGCATCTCGCCCTGCTCCTCAGCCATCTCCTCGACATTCTCCTTGCCCTGCTCCTCCACGTTCTCCTCAGCCATCTCCTCAGCCTTCTCCTGACTCTCTCTGCCTTCTCCTCCACATTCTCCTCAGCCATCTCCTCAGCCATCTCCTCAGCCTTCTCCCGCCCTTCTCAGCCTTCTCCTCCACATTTTCCTCAGCCGTCTCCTCGACATTCTCCTTGCCCTGCTCCTCCATTCTCCTCAGCCATCTCCTCAGCCTTCTCCTGACTCTGCCTTCTCCTCCACATTCTCCTCAGCCATCTCCTGCCCTTCTCAGCCGTCTCCTCGACGTTCTCCTTGCCCTGCTCCTCCACATTCTCCTCAGCCATCTCCTGCCCTTCTCAGCCGTCTCCTCGACGTTCTCCTTGCCCTGCTCCTCAGTCTCCTCGACATTTTCCTCGCCCCGCTCCTCGGCCGTCTCCTCGCCCTCCTCCCTGCCCGGCCCCTCGCCCAGCTCCCCCCGTACCCCGGACTCCCCCCCCCCCCCCCGGGGGCCCCTGGGGCGGGGCCTGCAGGGCGGGCGCGCGGCCGGCAGAGGGCGCGCGGGGACCGCGGCGCGTGCCCGCGGCGCGCAGGGGGCGGGGCCCGGGCGCGCGGGGCCCCCGCGCCCGCGGCGGTTCTACCTCAGCGCCGTGATGTCACGGCCGGCAGCGCCCGCCCCGAGCTCGACAGGCAATGAGCCTCATTCTTCAACAGGCAAACACATAAAGATGTCAGCTCAAACTGTTTACTAATTAACACTTAAAAAGACACAAATTAGATATGCGTGGCTAAGAGCAATTATAATCAAGACGAATTTCTCTAGTCATTTGGGAACTGAAAAAAATGCCTAATTGCTGGAACCAATGTTTTAAAAACTGAAATCATGCCAGTTAGCAAATATGTTCATTTAAAGAACATTTCATGTGACTACACTCTGGAGAATTGACTACAAACATCAGAACAAGGAAAAATATTTCTGTATAAAATTAAAATTTTAAGCTCTTCTAGATTTACAACTTCTTCATTAAATATATTGGCGAAGAGCAGCCCAGGAAAACTTGTAGCAATTAAGTGGTTAAACGAACTGCCTCCCTCGTCACTTTAAAAGGAATGATTAAAACTAGACGCTTGCTTTACTAATTAGACCCTCTCCAGCCTTCCCAAGCCGGGACTGAGCCGGGGTGCCCTCTGCCAGCGTGGGGGGCTCGCGGCAGCACAACGGCCAGCCGGCAGCCGCGGCACGGCAGCACGGCCGCCGGGGCCACCGCCAGAACGGGAGCCACCCCTGAAACTGGAGCCACCGCCTGAACCAGAGCCACCGCTGGAACTGGAGCCACTGCCAGAACCAGAGACACCCCTGAAACTGGAGCCACTGCCAGAACAGGAGCCACCCCTGAAACTGGAGCCACCCCTGAAACTGGAGCCACCGCTGGAACTGGAGCCACCCCTGAAACTGGAGCCACCGCTGGAACTGGAGCCAACGCCGGAACCAGGGCCACTGCCGAACTAGAGCCACCGCCGGAACTGCCAGAACCCCCACTGGAGCCACTGCTGGAACTGGAGCCACTGCCTGAACCAGAGCCACCCCTGAAACTGGAGCCACTGCCAGAACAGGAGCCACCCCTGAAACTGGAGCCACTGCCAGAACAGGAGCCACCCCTGAAACTGGAGCCACTGCTGGAACTGGAGCCACTGCCAGAACCAGAGCCACCGCTGGAACTGGAGCCAACGCCGGAACCAGGGCCACTGCTGAACTAGAGCCACCGCCGGAACTGCCAGAACCCCCACTGGAGCCACTGCTGGAACTGGAGCCACTGCCAGAACCAGAGCCACCCCTGAAACTGGAGCCACTGCCGGAACAGGAGCCACCCCTGAAACTGGAGCCACCACTGGAACTGGAGCCACCCCTGAAACTGGAGCCACCACTGGAACTGGAGCCACCCCTGAAACTGGAGCCACTGCCAGAACCAGAGCCACTGCTGGAACTGGAGCCACCACTGGAACCGGAGCCACCCCTGAAACTGGAGCCACCACTGGAACCGGAGCCACCCCTGAAACTGGAGCCACCGCTGGAACCGGAGCCACCCCTGAAACTGGAGCCACCGCTGGAACCGGAGCCACCGCCTGAACCGGAGCCACCCCTGAAACTGGAGCCACCCCTGAAACTGGAGCCACCCCTGAAACTGGAGCCACTGCTGGAACCAGGGCCACTGCCAAACTAGAGCCACCGCCGGAACTGCCAGAACCCCCACTGGAGCCACTGCTGGAACTGGAGCCACCACCAGAACCAGAGCCAACGGCAGAACCGGAGCCACCCCTGAAACTGGAGCCACCGCTGGAACCGGAGCCACCCCTGAAACTGGAGCCACCGCTGGAACCGGAGCCACCGCCTGAACCGGAGCCACCCCTGAAACTGGAGCCACCCCTGAAACTGGAGCCACCCCTGAAACTGGAGCCACTGCTGGAACCAGGGCCACTGCCAAACTAGAGCCACCGCCGGAACTGCCAGAACCCCCACTGGAGCCACTGCTGGAACTGGAGCCACCACCAGAACCAGAGCCAACGGCAGAACCGGAGCCACCCCTGAAACTGGAGCCACCACTGGAACCGGAGCCACCGCCGGAACCGGAGCCACCGCCAGAACCCCCACCGGAGCCAGAGCCACCACTGGAGCCACCGCCGGACCCGGAGCCGCCGCTGCACGCAGGCCACCTCGCCTGCTGAGACACCCGCCCGGTGACGGTCCCCTGCCCGGGACAGGCCGTGGCCGCAGGGCCAAGCCCCCCGCACCCCACACCCCGGGCTGGGCACGGCTCCTCCGCCCCACGGCCACCGAAACAGCCGCAGGCGATCGGGGCTGGCGGCCGAAACCCGCCTGGACGCGCTGGGCCTCGCCGCCCCTCCCCAGGCTCCCGGGGCTCGGCTGGGCCCGCGCGGAGGGGGCGCTGCCTCCAGGCGCAGCCCGGGCGGGCACTGCAGGATTTGCACCTGTTCCCACCAGTTTTCCTGGAAGAGCGGAGTCCTTTCATTCAGCTCACCAGCCTGGAGAATGGGTGCATACATCTGCAAATGCGCTGACAGAGAACAATAACTCTTGGAATTCTTTGGGAATATTTTTTGCAAGGCATCTAGCTCCAGGGAAAATGTTCTCGCTGCTTTGGAAATCCAGAAGATTTGCTGTAATGGTGCTATTGCTTGCAAGGGAAATAAAGCCATGCAGAAATTCACAATATTTATATGCATAGCTATCTATGTGCAGACAAGATGCTTCATCAAGGAATACGGGCTGCATAATTATACTTTTCATTACTCTGAAAGGCACACAGCCTGTAAGGGAACGGGAGGGTGTGGGGAGAGCCCGCAGGTATCAGCCTCTCCTCCCCATGCTGCGCAGGCGACGCCGGTGCCGCTGTCCCGAGCTGCCGGCACCTCTCCCGCACCAGGCACACGACCAGCGCTGCCCAACCGACTCCATCGCCCCTTCGCTTCCCCCCGGCCCCGCGGCCAGCTCCGGGCCGGCACGGGGGAAGGGGGCAGGCGCATGTCGGGGCCACCAGCCCCGGCACCCCGGCCCGCAGCGCCCGGGGCTGCGGGGGCTTCTGCCAGCGACTGCTCCCGTCGGGCAGCACCTTCCGAGCTGCCGTCACCGCTCCCCCCGCTCGCCGGGCGCCTGGCACGCCCTGGCAACCCATCACCTTCTTTCTGTACTCAGACAAAACTTCCGGGCAGAAGGGAATGGGTCTAGGAAACTGGACTCTCAGCTGGAATCAAAAAGCGAGGAAGCCATGAGGATTCTGGAAGTTCTGCTATGCCATCTTCTTACTCCTGCCCTTAACCCAGCTGGTCGGCACACGAGAAGATGTTTGTGACTGATGGTGCCTGAAAAGCCCGTGCTGCCGAGACAATTTTCCTCCTGGCCTGAGACTTCAGCTGAGGCAGCTCTTGCAGAGCAGGCGGCTCCGCGGCGCCATGCAGCCCAAGCCATGCATCTGCCAAAACGCTTCCTCGGGAACACGAGACCACCCTCGGTTCCGTGGCTGTCTCCTCCCCGAGCTCCCGCAAGACTCGTGCTCACTGCAAGCGCAGCCCGGTTTTCCTGGTAACAAGATACCAGGCACCATCACACTGAAAAACGCTGAAGTGGTTTTCCTGACGTTGCTTAGTCAAGTTCATTTGCTTCCCTGGGACGCGAGAGGCAACCTAACACAAACAGAGTCCTGCCTGTAACATGCTTTGTTAATAAATGAGAAAGCAAGGTTAAATAAGCAAGACATCTGGAATTAAACAGAGGGCAGCAGACTTTGCCATTAGACTCAACACCTGAAGTGTCTCCACCCGGCACAGATCCCAGAGGACATCCCTAACGCCGAGCTTACTGTTTGGCTCCACGTTGACTTTATCCACCAGCAGTGACTTGGAAAAGACAAGGGAGGCCTTTTCCAGCAGGGAAGGGATCTTACAACGAAGCGAACACAGCTCTCGCGATGCTTTTGCGGAGTGCCAGGCTGGCTACCTACCTCCTTTTCGATTTCTGCAAGGGTTTTGATTGTGATACCCAACAGATCAACCGGCTGCATCTGGCAAGGAAAACAAAAACGAAACGTCAAATTCAGGGTTTTTTTGTTTTGGTTTTGTTTTGTTTAAAGTCAGCAAATACTCTATCACCAGAGGTTTAGAGGCTCCATCTGTAAACACCGCCGTAATCCTGTTTCTCAGTCCACCAGCACAGTGAAGAAGCAGCAGGGTGAGGGCCAACAGCCCTTCTCGCCGCGCGGGGACGACGGCACCCACCGCGGTGTCACTGTGCAGAGGCAGAGCCTCGGCCCCCGCCCCGCCGCGGGACGGCTCTGACCGGAGCACGCGCGGGACGGAACACCCTGCGGATTTCATACGGCCGCAGCACGGAGGTGTGAGCGGCACCGGCTGTGGGAAGCCCCGACCAAACTGACCATATGGTGGCAATGGTGTCTAAAGGATCTGAGGGGAGGATTAGCACGACCTAATCTCTCTGCATTTGTCCTCGCAGCAGGGACTCCAGCTTTCTGGGAATAACGGCCCATAAACAACCCTTTCAGAAAGCGATGGTTGTGAAAAACCATGTCCGGCTGCACACGCCGGTTGTGTCAGCAGGAAGAAGAAAGCACAAAGCAGGAGCACAACGTGAAAAATCAGATACAGCTGATGGCTTGGTGTTTGCCTTAACAGCTCCTTGTAAATTGATTTTTAAAGCTATATTGATTTAGGATGGGATGGATTAGGGAACTGGCAGTGGGATGCCCAGCCTCTGAGCTCTGGATCACCAACTTAAACTAGCACTGGCCCCACAATGCTCTCAAGTCATTCCGAATCGGTACTGGGGTTTCTGTTGTGGCTGAGCTGCTTCACCGGCAGCACCCCCGGCCGGCACGGCAGCGCTCGGCACCGAGCAGGCCGGACGTGCTGCCCCTCGAGCTCGGCCGCTGCCGGGCAGGAGCCGTGCCGCCGGCAGCACAGGCACGCCGCGGCAGGCCTCCGCTCGAGGGCTGAACTCACTCAGAAACGTGCTGTGTGCGGAAACAACCCAGCCCGTTTTGCCACTGCACTTCAGACACTTTGGTTCAGATAATCCCCTATTGTCAGAGGGCGATGGGAATCCTAAAACCGTTTTTCCATCCCTGCTCCAGCTCCCTGGAACCCAGCCGAGGTCCAGCTGCGGCGTCATTAGGACGCAGCCACCCCCGCGAGCTTTCCAGACTGGAACTGGTAATCACGAGGGCGCAGCCTCCCCACCAAACCGGATTTTGGCCAGCGCGGCCGCGGTAATCCCACCACCCCCGCTCCACCTGCAAAACCAGCAGTGCCCGCCGAGGCCGAGAGCTCCGGGCGGCCCTCGCCCCCGCGCCGCGGCCCCGCTCTGCCCACGCAGGACGTGGAGCCGCAGGAGCCTCGCGGCAGCTGCCAGCGCTGGGCTGCGCCGTGCCACCACCCCTGCCTTGAACTTCTGGGGTGCAAAAAGGAAGTCGTAAAGCTGACTGTGCCACGCCATACCCACAGCAGGTTAAATCTAGGAGACCTGTATGTTTGCGGCTTTCTTTACAATCTACGTGAAGAAATCAAAAATGCTTCCAGCATCAGAGAGTCCCATTGCCATTCCTATTTCTGGTGGTGATAAACCTTCAACTCCCGGGACAATTCAGTTTTAGAAGTGATCTGGCAGAAGCCATTTGCACCCTATGGGAAAGTGCTGTGAAGCGCAACCTTGGGTCATCTCAACACCGGGTGGATATTAGGCCCCAAAAAATAAAAGCTCCCAGAAGCAGGTCATTCGTGTTGATGCTCTGTGATTGCTCTCCACGAAAAGATGAATTTCAGACATGGGGAGAACAACAAAGGCAACTTACCCCTTCAGGAGCGCAGGCAAACTTCTCTGAAATCATAAAAGGCACTCCATCCATTGCTGAAAGGCACAAAACGAGCAGACACGTCACATTTCCAGCTGACTTCTGACATGTAACTTCACACGTTTGCAGTGACAGATCAAGTATTCATGGCACTGACACATGATTGATAGCCCACAGAAGTTATCCCAGCCTTCTCCTCCCTCTAACCTGCCAGTGGTTCCTCTCTGTTTGAGACACAGCTGGGTTAGTCCCAACCAAATCAGGAATTCAGTGAACCCTCCTTGCTCTGTCCACATACAATTTCATGGTCTCAATTTCGAGTCTTCCAATTTGGTTCAGCTGCCAGAACAGGACAGTATTTGAGACTCAAAACAAATACACACAGTTTAAGGGGACGGATATCTATTTATGACCACCACACAGAACCATCCGAGCGAACTTGGTGGTGTCTGAGCAAGAGGACAAGGAACGTACCTGGTTCAGGTGACCTGAACGTCCCCACAGCAGCAAGTACCTGCCACCTGGGCAGCACGAAACCAAGGGGTCAAGCACCCGCTCTGGCCTGGCTGCTGCCACTGCAAACTCAACAGTGAGCAACGGAGCTCAAACACTTGCAAACCGCAACTGGAGGATGGAAACCAGTGGCACGTGAGGACAGAGACAGACAACCTTAACGCTACTAAGAGGATTGTGTGCCTTTATATTGCCTCGTGCGTTCTGCCTAGGCAGTTCAATGATGTTCAGTGCTTCTGTCCTGCTATCACCACCTCAGAAACTTCACAGAAAGCCTCCCACAAGATGTGTCAGTGCAGGGGAGACACTTAGTTTTAAAACACGTAACTCAGCAATTTCCACACAAGACTGAAAAGGGCACACTTCTAAGGCAGAGTGCAGCCCCAAATACACCCACTTTATTTCACTTACACCTTTAACATCTTAAGTCTTTAAATTTCAACTCTGAAAGAAATAAAAACTTCAAACTAGAGCAAATTTAAGCCCTGAAATGCCCTCAAGTAATCCTCAAATAGGGTTTTCTTTCACAAAGCATCTGCACCCATGAACCCGGCATTTCTCTGCTTGCTGTTTGTAACTTCCATCAGCATCAGTTACGTTGGTGATTTAACAAGGGTTGCTTAAGAATACTTGTAATTTTACATTTGCTTTGTATATTTTTGACTTTAAAAAACCCTCCACTGGAGTAATTTCATTATCAAAGGTGCTATGTGGCAGTCACAGCACTACATGAAACAAAAGGAAACAGATGAAAAGCAGCATCACCAAATCCAGGAAGTTTTGAACCTGAAAGACCATCTGCATTTGTTATCCGACAGAAACCTGCTTTGATCAGTCACACGCCGGCTTTTGTAAAGTAATTTAAAGAATAAGCCGTGAGGAGCATGCACGTCCCCCCGGCAGCCCCCGCCGGGCTGCCTCCCGCCGTCCTGCGGTCCTTGCGCACTCCAGCCCTCCCGGAGCTCAAAACTGCAGAGCAAAGCAGCAGATGAAAGCAGGGTGTGCCAAAGGCTCAGCAGCGCAATTAGCACTCTCCTAAACAAACGAGCTTCCACAGAGCTGTAATTAAGCAGGCCTGTAATTAAGTATATGCCCTTTATCATAACGATCATGCTTAAAAATGGCATGATGCATGGAAGTGTGTTATTAATGCTGCACTCCCAAAGCGCAGGAGCGTGCACAGGAGCCGGCGTGTCAGGCCTGTCACCAGGCTGCTGGTAAAATACATTAAGGGGAGAAATCGGAAAACAACACGCTCATTCAACAGCTCCTTTCACAGCCAGGCACCAGGAGTCACCAGGATTTAAATACCCACCGATTCAGGAACCTGTACGGAGAGAAGGCACCGGGCTGCCACAGCCGCCGCCTGCCCCCGCGCTGGGGGTCGGCAGCCCTCGCCCCGTGGCCGGCGTCGTGCCGGGAGCCCGCGGTGCCAGCCTGCAGGCAGGAGCTGCTCGGGCGCCCGAGGGGCTGCAGGCAGGCGGTGGGGACCCCCCCCGAGACGCTCGTCCCTCGCCTCTGCTTCCAGGCTGAACGACGGCCCTGGACAGAGCAAACGCTTGGGAGGAAGGACAGCCCCGCGCCCCCCGCCTCGGCCCTGGAGGTGCTGCCCGCCGCCCACGGCACTGCCCACACGGAGGGGGGGTTCGCAGCTACCCCTGCCCACAAAGGTCTTTTTCACGCTCACAAGGACTTCAAGGGTGAGGCACGCAACTTTTTTCTAGGAGTGCAAATTCAAACCCAAGCAGATTACCAAGCGTGGTGAGTTTGTTCCGCCTCGCAGAGGAGGGCAGGAGGGCGCTGCAGGAAGCCATCTCCAGGGCCAGGCATCTCCAGCAACAGGCAGGGACGAGCTCCCATCGTCTGCTGGGGTGTCCAGCGCCGGGCTCCGGCTGCCATCGCTCCCCCCGCGCACCACGGGACAGCACGCAACTGCGTTTACAGCAGCCAGTTAACTTCAGAATAAAATTAAATGAAACCAGGACTGTAGGAGGCTTGTAATTCCGTGTCCCTTGTTCTGATGCTGTGCTGTAAATAAACATCAGCAGCAGCTTCTGATTCCTCCCTCTCCCCATCTCCTCCTTGTCGCTTTTGAAGCATTCCTGGCGGTCTCTGCTGAGCAGAGCACTGTGCTGAGATCCTGCCCGGTGTCACCATTTCCACGGGCAGCGCCAAGACTTACCAGCCTGGCTTTGGCCTGGAGCTGCAGTTCTGGTTTCAGTCTGGCCAGGAGCTACTCAACGCTCCCCGATGTCAATCTGCGCCACGTTCAAAACCAGCAGACAGTAACACAAAGGGATAAAAGGAATCGGTGCTGGTGAATGGTGAAGTACAGCTCTCTCTCCAAAGGCAACACTACTGATTCAGAACGAAAAAGGTGGGCACAGTCCCATTTTTCCAGCACTACCACCAGTAACATTACTCGTACCACCACCACATGAATAGGCTCGTGCACTGACCCATGTAGGTTTGAACATCTTTAAAGGACCGTGACTTCGAAATATGTTTACAGACCTACACGAGGTCTGCACCTTGCCCGTTACACTTAAGGCCTCCTTGCCCCGGCAGGCAAAGGTGCTGGTGCGCTGCCCGGCCCTGCGCGGGGCCACCACCTCCTCCGGCGCCTTGGCCCGCGGCAATCCGGGCGGCAGCGGGTCCTCCCCGTGCGACGGCACCCACAGCGTCTGCAACAGACCAGGGAGGTGCCTGCGCCCTTCTCCCTCAAAACTGAACAAAATACAAAGGGATTTCAGAAAGAAGAATGTTTCCAGCGGCTGCCTGCTGCCTCCCAGGAGCAGCTCCTCCCGGAGGGTCGTCCAATTAGCTCAGTCGCAGCGATTAGATAAAAGAACTGAAAGGAGCCAGCGGCCAGACCAGCGCTCCTAAAGCCGAGCCCCGAGGGCAGCCGGGGGGAGGCCGGAGCCCTCCGGCCCCTCCGGCGAGGGGGCGCCCCGAGGGGCCCCCAGCCACCCCGGCGGCAGTGCCGCACCACCGAAACGCACAACCCACTTTTAACCCGTGCCTACTTCTTGGTTACAATGCGCCAAGACTTACTCTCAGCCTTTAAAGGGCAGGACACAAAACCGTGCTTTACACATACAACTTGTTAGCTCGCTCAGAAATTCTCCCTTTAATCTGAAAACGTCCTGTCACCCTCCTCTAAGCACACGATAGATGCTGCCTTCTGTGCTGCAGACTCCAACCAAATCTCGGTTGTCAAATTAGTAATTCATCTTTCTTGAATAACTATATTTTTAGCAAAGCTACCAGATTTAAATAATCAGACCTGCCAATGCTACCCTAATTTAAACATGCTGACGAACTTTCACAGGCAGCATCAGCTAACATAATGAGTTTCTGGATGACAAAGAACTTCAGACCGTAGTTCCCTACACTACCCAGCGTAATAAGCACTTGTTCTTTTCTACAATGTGCCCATAAAAGAGGAATCTAAATAATAATTGCTGTAATTATCTTGAAAAATATGTGGTGATTAATGGTGATTATGAAAATCTGTATAATTGTTCACTGAAATCTCCAATGATCAGATGCTTTCTTGAAGCAGCCGTTAATGAAGAACTTAGGAACACAAAAAGCACCAAAACCCAAGCCAAGCTCCTGGCGGTCTGAGGCGCGGGAGGATGCGAGCGCCCACGCGCCCGGCTCAGCGCTCACCCCCCCGTGAACTCTCTGCCAGAGGTCCCAAGATGTCCGTGATGTGACGCATATGTCACTGCGGTTCAAAGCACCAAGTTCAACCTGTTATTTATGCAAATAATTAATTACTCTTGTATCCAACTAGCAGTTTGTCATGACACATTAATGGCTTGATAGACTTCTATGAACTAGTGAACACAGGACAGCAGAGCGCTTTTATCGTCATTTAATTTAAAAACGATCCTGTGTGAAATTATCTAGTCGTGAGTGATGGAAGCATAAAGAACAGACTCAGCAAAGCTTCTTTTGGATCATTGCTTTATTAATGGTAACGTCAGGGAAATGAAAAATGCTAACATTGTCATATTTAGCTCCTGGGTATAGATGAATAGCTGCCTCAGTGCTTGGCGGGTTCAGTTTGCACACTGCAGTGAGCGCTAATTCTTCACACCACTATTGTGGGGATACACAGCCACGCAAGAGTTTATATACCTCAACTCCCAAGGAAATAACAGCTGTTTCTGCATTTAAGTTCTCACCATAAGCTTTCATAGCTTTGGATTTCTCTATTGCTATTTTTGCACGGCCTTTTACACTTGAATTTTCAATTGCTGATATTGAAAATATTTAAATAAATAAATCCCCTGCAAAACATTTTCCTGCGTGACTTTGAAAACTAAGCATTGCTAATGCAAACCAACCAAAAACCCCAACACTGAACGTACTATTGCCACCTTTGAAATTTAAATGATCTCAGATTTTAGAAAGAGCTTTCTGTAATACTGCAAAAGTCTTTGGATTTTCCGCAGGCCTGAAACGCTAGCAGAGCGTTTATGTTTTACCAAGATGAGTATCCCATAAACCAGCCTACAGCAATACCATAAAA